TCCAGAAAAACAACACGGTTTTAAAAAACATGATTATATCAGTCAATTAATTAGATAAAAGAGCTATAAACAGAATTTGTTTTTCGCGTGTATGGGGGACCAGTCTCTATTTCGTCATCCCCAAAGAGTCCTGGCTTTTTTATGATAGGTTTCTCCATTTTGTCTTTGTTTTTCAAACAAAATACTGTTTTCTAAATGTTGATGAAAAGAAGAAGAGAAACATAGACAAGCTCCTGTTACATTTTTTTTTGTCTTGTGAACTGATATGAATGACAGACTGTCCAGACTGACAGGATGCAGTCTGTGAGTCAGCCCTACGTTTGAGCTGCACATGTCTCTTATTTTGACAGTTCTACTCTTCCAGTCTAGCTCATTAGTGCTGAACATGACATTTGAGGGTTGCGGCTGCTCCCTGAGTGAAATTGGCTGATTAAGCTGAACTCAAGAAACTTAAGAGATCATCTTTTCTCATCCTCACTTTATTTTATTTCTGATGAAAAGATTCTATGACTAATCATGGGGTTTCTTTCATATAGAAACTACATGCATACATAAGGCAACATCCTCGGTAGGGCTTCTTGTCTCCTCCTTCTGAGTAGTCTACTCTGTTCTAAACTCTATTATAAACAGATCTGCACACTGATGAGCTTTCCAGAGCATACAGTATATCGCCCGAAGCTCTGAAATAATGCCAACTCCATTTATGTCTATTTATTGCTGAACTATACTTACATCAACATGATTACGCATTGCACAGAACAGTCACGTGAATTATAATTGGTTCCAGAAATCTGCTTTTCCTTGAAGCAGAGAATGTGGTTGAAAATGCATCTGTGTCTAAATTTATAGCTTTGTATGCCATTGCCTTTTCAGAAAATGATCAAACTGAAAAAGTCCTTTGGTGTATGGAGAAGAATCACAGCAGAGGAAAGACGGAAAAAAGACAAGACCCGCTCAATTAAAATGTATTTTCATTTAACCACGAATGATTTAGAAAAAAAAAAAGCAAATTCAAGTTGAACTGTAATTTTGTGATTAAGCAAAACTAAGAGAGATCTAACGGAAGATTTAGAGGAGGATGTTAAGCAGCAGAATTCCAGATTTTCCTGGAAGCAGTGTTGTTATCCCTCAATGTAATAGTCGGTGGTGGATTTAATCCCTTAAAATTAGTCCCATGCTAATCCTCACTAACCTCAGACAGAGGTCACTCATCTCCAATTTAAAGAGGCATAAAGACCACTTTGTAATTGCGTTTTAAAGGCCCACAATTATTCTGTATGTTCTTTTTTCTGCATGTCAAATTTAAAAGGCCACACTACCATTCAGACAATAAATGAGCAGACATAATTTGTGTAAATACTTTGAATCATTAAGCAAAACACAGTGACATGCATGGACTCTTTTTGTATTAAATTACGGTCGGCAACTGATGGCGTTATGAATTTTGTTTTAAATTTAATTTCCTCCTTTGTTTCCTACGTATCTTTCGGTACATGTGGACAGATATGAATAAACGTCTTGCTGGCAGTACACAACCAGCATGTAACTTTGTGTCACTATCATATCGCATCTTGGCTGTTTTTTCTGTACGGCATTAGAGGATTATGCTGACCCAGTCCCGGGTCAGATTTAAGCTTGATGCACTTAATTTTAAGCCAATACTTTGCCAGTGCCAGTCAGGGGCATCAGTTGAGATTGTGGCTCTCTGCCAGTGTTACCTTTCCTGTCAGCCGCTGTAAACTTAAGAGTAGCTGACAGTTTTGTTTTTTCTCTCAAGTTTATTTGTCATATTCTGACCTCCGTCCCTGTACTGAATGTCTTTCCCATCTCTTTGCCCACATTTTCTCAATTCTGTCACGGACAAACAGATGCGCAAACAGTTAATAAAATTGTTTTTAAAAGTAATAAAGAGGAATCTATAAACGGCTTTGAGTTAGATTGCCCTATCCCATGGTACTTGTTTGTTAGCTTGTTAGAAAAAAAAGAAAAAGGCCACCATATGAAGCCTCAGCTGGTGACTTCTGGCACTGGGATCTCTGGGTCTAGTGGGATAGGGCCTTTGAGGACCATGCTGGCTTTTTTACAGGCTCTATTTCAAATGTGGAAATGGGGAGATTTGGAAGTCCTATCAAGGGCTCTTTTCACTCCACATCAGCTGATACTGAGTCATTTTGCAACACGCTGGGATGCTGTGGTGACATCTGCAATGTTATGGTGTGATTAATCAGCACCACTGGCATCATATTCTTCCAGGGTTTTGGATCTGTGCTAAGCTTGCAGGTGCACTTGACAGCGAGCAGACATTATTTTACTATTACTTTACTATTTACTATTAAGTTGTTTAGGCCAGTTTCTCCACAAGTGATATATTTCAAATACAAAACTAACATGATATTCTTTCTGTTATTTACCTATTGAGCAAAACACGTCACAAGCCCATTGCTGGATATCCTCCACATGTGTGAGGATATCCTCCCAAAATTTTGACCAGGTTTGACCATGGAATTTGTTTTGTGATAACAATATGATTTAAGTTATTGATCTGAACATAGTTACTTAAATGACATAAGTAATAACAAAAACGTACATTTTAAGTACTCTAATAACTGTAGCTCTTAAATTCTTGAAGACCGTACTGATTTTTTTTTATTTGCACCAGCATCTATAATATCCAGCGAAAATGGCTCTTTTCTCATATTCATGCATTATTAATTGCTTCTGCATAGGTTTGTTATTAATCACAGCAAAGGTTATCCTATAAATCATCTGACTATTTATCTGCAAACACCAGGGCCTCTTTTATGAAGAGGGATAGAATTTCTAGCTTCTGGCAACCTGCTGCCATTAGCAATTAGCAAGATTTCTTGAAGTGATGCCCCAGAAATACAAACCCGAATAAACGCCACACTGTGCTAATAAGTTTTTACATCTTTCCCCTCTGGACTATTTTACTTAACTTGACCCAAAGGTCAAATAGGCTTACCAGCAAAGTAAAACAGTCCCTGGGAATGTGAAAAACCTCAGTGTAACCTTCATATTCACATTATGCTGTGAGCTACTTTCCCCAATGACCCCCACCCCCCAGTTTCTAGTCTCTTTTGTTATGTTTTTTTTTCATTATTGTTTTTATGATTATGCCGATGGAGAGAAGGGCAGACAAGCTATCGACCCTTTTCTATTCCGGCCTACTATGAATTATTTGCAACTTAAAGAGGAACCATAGTGCCAGTTCCTGTTTTTTCCACTATTGCTGCAATCCCCAGGGAACAAATACCCTCAGATTTTGTTACCTTTATGTATTTTCTGTCTGTGTTTTGTCTGCACCAGCCTCTCTCCATTTGTTATTCTCTCCCCTGTCATCAGACTGTAATTAATGTAAACATACAAAAAGGAAGAGGACAGAGGAAGACAGCGGAGAAGATAGGGTGCGCACTGAGACAGCCACCCTGTAAGCTAGAGGCTAATTTTAGCCTTTCAGGGCAGTGCTCTGCAAGTCCCTGTGGATGAGTTGAACCATAGAGGGATCTGAGCATCAGCTCCAGCTCTTGTTCTCTCCTTTGCTCAGTGTGGACGCCGTCCTTTGTGCAAGAAGGTTACAGGACAGTCACAATAAACAGAGGTGGATTCAAAGGACATTTAAAGTACCTGGGCTTTCGTCCGGTTGATTTTCACCCATTTTCTCTTGGGGAAAATGTGTTTGGAACGTACACAGTATCATTAGCATTTCTAGTCCATGCTTTGGATGTTATCGATTTCAACCTCCCTGCGTTGGAGAAAGAAAGAGAGATATAGTACACGAAGGATCCATTTTTTAAATCTCAGTTTCACAACTAGGAGCACCTAAATATAACTCAGCTGGGAAAAAAAGGTCACAACACGGTGAAGTGAAAAAGAAAGAATAGACCGCTGAAAAATAATGAAGCAACATTTGCTCATTCTTCTTTCAGAGTGCTCGGTCACCGCTTGTTTGCTGCCCATGTAAAGACTCCCTTGATCATATTACTATAGATCACTTCTCAAAGTACTTTTGGACTAGTTTTAGACTGTGACTTTTATAGAATCCTGCCTCTGAAGCACTTAATCATTTGCTAGATTTTTTCAACCTTTAATAATGATATAAACCAATTGAATTGCAATTACATTTATTCTAAGTAAAATGGACAATTTAAGTGGAATTAAAAACCATTAACTTAAAATAGAATATAATTACACGGAAATCATATTCTTTCAATTTAACAAACGGGGAAAATGGGTCTGGTTTATTATGCAAAACGGACCAATCAGTAGTGATCTTTCTCCATATTTAAGTTTTTTCTTCTTTTTTAGAAAAGACTAATTGAGGTTCAGTGTGAGAAAGATTGTGGCATAACTAACCTGGATATAAGTAATGAGTTTCTCATGCTAATGATGGTTTCTAATGCAAATGAGAGACTCTGAACGAAAGCCTGAGCCATCCAGGCATGAGTCAATTTGACTTTGGCCAGATTCTATGTAAATGAAACGGCTTCTCGCGGAAGATGTGCTTACTCAGCCGCTGACGACTTTCTATTCTGAAACTTTCCCGTTCTGATTAAATGGCCACACCGGCAGCATCACTGGTCCCGGCTCGTGGCATTTAGACACACTGGTTGGCTAATTAATCCAGAGGTGTGTGCCCTCTTCATAATTCAGCCCAGTTGCTCTTCATTACCTGCTCTGATGTGAAAATGTGTTTCCTCCACTGGTGTGTTTGTTTTGGATGGCAGCCATATTGAATTATGAACAGCTCAACAACTGGGCATGCAGAAACACACAGACATATTCAAATGAACCAAGCCCTGTTCTTTGTTAACTAAACAGCAACCTGTGCCCAGATTACAAATCTTTTTTACCTCCATATGGGGAGTTTAAGAGATAATGAGACATTTAAACCCAGACAACTAGTACTCATGTATGAATGTCAGAATTTGGAATAAAGTTTAACAGAGGTTTTTGTCTCTCCCTCCATCTCTCTTTGACAGATTTTCCATATGACGTATGACCTGGCGAGTGCAGTGGTAAGAATATTTAATTTGATAGGGATGATGCTGCTTCTTTGTCACTGGGATGGCTGTCTCCAGTATCTGGTGCCTCTCCTCCAAGACTTCCCGCCTGACTGCTGGGTGTCCCTAAACGGTATGGTTGTAAGTATTGCAAACCTTTCTCCTTTGTTTGTTATTTTTAGAATCTGGTACATGTGCTATCACTGCTTTTTTAGACAAGTTTTTTTTTTTTTTCTTGCTCAGCCTTTAATATTTCTTGTGTGTTTTTATATGACTTGAAAAAGAACAGAAAAAGCATCAATAAACCTACAATGACTCAAAAAAGAGAGACACCTAAGATAAAAAGACAATAAAAACCATGTTGATTTAGTCAAGTAGAATGTGTCTCAAATAGAGACATATTTTGGAAAATCTGGCCAGACACTTGCAGCTGGAATTACTTCTCCTCCGCTGCATAAGCCATGGTGATGGCATTTATGTATTTCCCAAACTGCTGCGAACAGAGTGCTAGAGTTTAAAAAGTTTTTTTCCCTCTTGCTCCCTGTGGCCACATACGCTTGTTTTCAAAAGTGTTTGATGATTGCGTGATGCGAATAATGAGGCGACATGTCCCAGAAAAACAGTCATCATCCTCCCCAGTCAGTGATTCAAGCGAAAAACACACAAAAAAAAGAACAAAAGAAGCAAATCCATCAGCGTGATCACTGACCTTAACACCTTTGGAATAAAACTCGACATTCACAGCTAACACATTTTTAATAACATGAAAGTCGCGCACACCGACACACACTCGTGAATCTTTAAAGAGCTCATCTCCAGCACCTCGACTTTTTTTCCCCCATCACTTTTTGATGGAGCCAAATAGCTCTGGATGTTTTATTCAACTAAACAGTCTGTGCTTATCTACATCTGAGACACAGCTACAGACACAGGTGAGCAGAGGGATGTGCTAAGGGAAACGAGCGTGTAGAATTTTTTTTTTCAGGGGTGTCATCTCTGGAAATAGGACAGCGACATAAAGCATCATCAGGTGGAACACCCCCCATGTGCTGACACAGCACCTGGCTTATCTGACATAATAATCCTATAACCAGGGCTTCATGTGACTTTAGTTTTATTTGTTTTGGTGCTCTAGTAAAACATCCAGTGGTGGGATAGAGAGGGGGCCAGAGTTGGCGGCATGGATTGTACACTTGAACACTTATTACAGCTTGTTGACATAATTTTAATTAGAATTTACACATATGGAGACTTTTGGATTTCCATAATATCATTCAGTTAAGAAACTATACAACAACTAAATTATTTCATTAAACTTTTTACATGCATTCTTTACATTAGTGATCGTGTCATGTCAACACAGCTTTTATTCAAGTTCCCTGGGGCCTCCCCCATCTTCCTCATTTTTTTTATTTCGCAGTATTCTCCATATTTCTTCCTCTTTTTCTCTGTCTTAAGTTGAGGGTCAAGCGTGGATGCTGCTCCCTGAGCAATGTGATGGTGCAGAAGTGTGTACATGACTACTGGGCATGGCTGATTGTGAATGCTTGCCTGTGGATCTTTTCTGCCTTCTCATTTCCCTCTGTCCGACAAACATTTTTGTGCTCCACATGCACGCTGGGTGCTCAGAGGCATCTGACTGGAGGTGCAAATGTCAGCCTCCCTCAGCATCACTACTCATTTCCCACTCTTATCTTTACTTTGAGGGGCCATGAGTTGCCCAAGAGAGTTCAATACCAGTAAACATGTGTTACTCATGCAAACAGACATTATCCAACTCAGTATGCACCAAAAGATTTTGCACTAATGTAATTTAACACATAAATGCCACTATTCATCCCTCCTAATTGTTATGTACACAAAACGAGGCAGATGGCTTCCTCTTAAACCCAAAATTTTACATTTCCCCCTAGTACACAACTCTTGGAATTGCTACTTGTTACTCTGAAACATAAAACCCCTGAGTTTGTAGTGCATGCTGTTTTGCTTGCTCAGGATGAATCGGATACATTTCCCATCTTGTATGTAAATCAATGAAGGAACTCCTGTAAAAAGCTCATTTGCTGCCCTCTGTGTAGCTAGATTAGTTGCTCTTTGGAAAACTGTGGCCAGGGCTCCAGACTTTAATGTGAAAAGTGTGTGTTCTGGAGAGCCTACAGGCTGATTAACCAGATTTGTTTAGTAGTGATTCTATGAAACTGAAAAATATTTTGCATAATAATAATCCTTCTTCAAAATGTGTGTTATTCACCTTTGAAGGAGAGTAGATCAATAATTTTGAAAGGAACTCCGCATTTGAAAAAAAGGCTACTAAGGGAAAAAGGCTTTCAAGCAAGTGTTTACGTTGTCCTTTTTCAGAGGGACACAGAGAATTTTAAGGTGAACTGTAAAAGTGCATCTCTGTAGGGGAAAGAGAGGATGGAGGATTTGTTTCCTCATTACTTTCTCATGAGTCTCATAATTGTGGAGTTGTTGCTGCAGAGCAGAACAACACTCTATTGCTACAGAGCGTGCCACATCTTCCAAAGTCCTGCTTCTTCTTTCAGGTTTTCTCTGTCTTTCTAGTAATTCAGCAAGCAGGCTAAACAGGAAGTATCTGAACTTGAACATTCTTGTTAGCAGCCAAATCTAAATCAGTTTTTAAATGGTGTGGCTGGGACAGGTTTGGTTTAAATTTGCACAACTTGGCCTTTGTTGATTGTGAAAAAAAAGGCATACAACTTCATCCAACAAGTCCCACTGCTTTTACATTCAGTTCATTTTAAACATATGAAAAACAAAAACAATATAGGATAGTGTTAAGGATGTTTGAAAACCTATTCTACTTCTCATGTACAAACAAGTCTAGGACTTAAAAGCAATGCGCCTTTTTTATTACAAGTTAAAGCTATTAACACACACAAATCATCATAGCGCTAAATTTAAGTTGAATTACACAATATCTTAGCTGGGTTTTTCACAGGTTACTCATTCATCCTCTATGTTACTTCTTGAATTAATTATTCCTATCTTTCATCTCTTGTATCATACAATTAACCCAGAAATGGTTAGGGAATTTGATGGGTTATAAGTCAAAGGTATTGTGATGTATCTGCTAGTGACCAGCTGGCATAGTGTCACTGACAGAGATGTGAGCAGATTGCGGAACCTCTTCCCTGGATCTATGCAGAAGTAATGGCCTGTTAGCTGACAGCGGCCTGGCAAATCCAAAGTGATAAGTCCCGCCCACGTCTAAGATCCCTCCTCTCACCCTGTCACAATGAGTTAGTGCGCCTGAGCTAAATATATTTATACTATATAATCTTCTATGTCCTGACTTTTCATCTCATTACCTGGTGATATAGGGACTCTGAGAAGCACTAGAATGTTTTCCTTAAACCTTGTGTATTTGACATCCATTTCCTTAAAACTGATGAGTTTAAATTCATTAGGGTTTTCATTCTGTTGGTGACTTTTCCCCAACTTAGATCTGAAGAGTGAGGCCAGCACTGGCTGCAGATACTGCTGAGTGGTGCAGCGCAGGGTGTGGGACTGTTATCTTGTTGACTAATGGCCTGAGAGTACCTTCTTACTCTTTAGAGGCTGCATTTACTTAATCACCAGACAAGATAATGCTGCTGTCACTGTGCTGGCTCTGGTTTGGAAAGCTGTTGCATTTGTTTGCGTGAACGTCATACAGGCCCGTGCTTAGGAGCATGTGTGTCTAGTGATTGCATATATGTGCTTTACATTAAGATACTGACAGCCCAGCAGTCGATGTCTGAGTAATCATGTGTCAGAGGTAGTTAGAGGAGGTAGACACACACACACACACACACACACACACACATATCCAGAGTGGTCTAACAAGAAATACTAGCATCATTTACCTTCACTGGCTTCTGTTCCTAGACAACCCGCTTGATTATCTTTTGTTGTTATGTGAACGGCTTCTTGTAGATCTTCAGATGTCGGATTTTAAAAGAGCAACAAAAATTGGTCTCAATCAGGAGAATATTTTTTTACAGACTGTTCCCAGGATGCTTTTTTATGTTTTTGATATTGATTGAATCCGCGAGAATGCAAACTTCACTTATTTCGCCAACAACAGCTTACATAATCAGCCACTTAAACTACTCAGGTTGCCAACTGTTCCTCACTAAAATGATTATGTATATTTCAATTTTACAGACATATTATAATTCATTGCATAATAGCTGAAAATAAAAATGATTCTCTTTCACAACCCAGTGAACTAACCAACCTAATTTCTCCACTCAGCTTGTATTTACCTAATTGAAAACTGAATATTATTTGCTCTATTCCTTTGGTTACATTTTCTATTGACATAGATCAAGGATGGCACCCAAGATGTACTCTAAATGTAACATCTAAACATGTAAACTCAAAAGTATAATAATGAGTGTTTCAGTGAATCTAGAATTGTGTTTGCCCTGCGAGCACATGGTTGTGGAGAGGTCAAACAGTGCTCTTTGCAGCAGCACATTACATCCTGTTGGGCTCACAGTTATTCATCTGTATCAACAACAACCAACGCCTCTGGGTGACGCTCAGCTCTGGGACAGTGGTGATTCAGCGACTGCATCCCAACCATGTACATGCTGTGAGAGAGAACTACTAAAGACACTATTTTGTATAATAAAACAAAAGGGCTGGTAAACGAACATATTTTAGAAACTTTATGCTGCTAATAACTAGATCTATTATCCTGGGACACTTCAGGTTTTTAAATATATACGTTACCACAGGCCGATCTTTGGTTCTTGGTGCATTTCCCAATAATATATTTTTGTCAGACGTGCATCAATATGTACATTTCAGCAAGTAAACAGAGGAAGTGAAGAACAGTAACAGAAAATAACAGAAAATATATATCAATAAATGAGAGAATAAATGGAGCAAACATCCTTTTTAGCTTATTTGTAATGGCCATTCCACAATCTTCATAACCGGCATTGGTTCCACAGTTGACAAGGAAATTATATTAACCAACTGTCTCTATCACATGGTCAGGGATGTGATGTAAACTACTCATCTGTCGTGTTATTGAGTTTACTTTCCCTCCTCCAATACTCAAAGATCTTATTATAATCCTCAACAACAGCCTGCATTAACCTAGGCTTCCCTTTGTATCTGCTGTCAAATCAAAGTGGAAAACATTGATCCTGTCCCACACTGAGCAAAAGCTTAATCAGAGTGATAGAAATTTAGAAATATAAAGCCGGAAATCTTTGGAAATTTAGTCGCCTCCTAGGCTTAGGTGGAAGTCAACTTATAAAACTTTGGATTTCACAAAAATGCTAAAATAGCCAAAGTGTTTTAGACTTCATTAGTTTTACTTTAATATTCACATGTTAGCACTATTTAATTAGTTTGTCCATCTCCTAGATCTTTGGTGACTTCTTTGCTCATTTGTGTTAAGAAATGCATTCATCAATCTTCTATCAAAAAGCGTTTACTGGGATTTTAAACAGGTGTGCAGACATTCTTTCTTGTATGCAAGTGTACAAAGAATGTGCGATGGCATTTGCTCGACAAAATAGGTGCACCAAAGACATGCAAGGACAAATAGCAAAGGGTGCATGAGTCATTCCAGCTCATCTGATTCTGTCTGGTAAAGGTGCAGCGAATGTCTGTAGTTTTCCATGCATAAAACATAGGAGCACAAATATTGAACATTGAAAAGTCATCCAGCACACACATTAAATGTACATATAAGAAAAAAAAAGGTTGGAGCCATAGCTTCACAAATATAGAATCTACTCCAGTTACATAGATGGGTGTTTGTTTTCTTTGTGGAAAGAGATTATTGAGTGTTTAATGCACAGCAGTATCATTCCAGTCCTGCAAATAGAATATATAGTTTTTTCCATATTGAATATGGTATGAAAAATGTGCAGATGAAGAAAAGGGCGCAGATGAAGTTGGTATTTTTCTGGCTTTCTTTTTTTAAAAGAGGAATTCACAAATCTTATCACTGCCAGGAAGTAACATCTCATGGACATTGTGATGTCCAAAATGGACATTTAGCCCAAACTTAACACAGAACCTGTGTTAGTATCTGAGTATGTGATAGTAATTGTGTCTGTGTATGTAAGTGTGGCGTCTAGAAAATGTCAATAGTGAAATTGGTTGCTAATAATAGTAATGCGGAACCCAAACCAACTCCTAAACCTAACAACGCAGTTCTTGTACCTTAAATGGTTTCCATGGGCCTTTATGCAGTAAGCGTGTCTGGCTGATGATGTCCATCCATCTTATAGGACAGAGGGAAATCAGTGACCTTGGCTCACCGATGTGCTGCTGCACTTGGGTTGTTGGCTCGCACAGATTTGTTGTTGTACATTTAGACGGCTGTTTTGTTACCTATTCTTTGATGGCACTAAACCGCAAAGCAGAATATTTCTAATGGTGGGATGGATTTAGTGGGATGGAGCTTCTGACATTTGATGTTTCTGTATGTTGGGACGTGGCAGCACTAGTCTGCCGCAAATATCATCGTAAACCGCGACCCCACAACTGAAGTACTCCCTGAGTTATGAACTTACTAAGCCATGTGCACATATTCAGCGCTTCCTCTTTTCAGATGAGTAGAGATATATGAGGAGTCAGCAGCTTGGCTGTGGCAACAAGGTCTGTACTGTAGAATAGACACTTTGGTTCCAGATAGGAACTACTAGGTTTGAAAGCCTCAAAGGGCATGTTTGCTTTTCCTCAACAGACTTTGTTTGCCGTCAGTGAAAATGCACACTTTTACATTTGACTTATACCCATTTAATAAGGAGTCTTAATAAAACCTTCAAGCTTTGCTTCAAGATATCAGCTGGTAACATGGATGTGTTACCAGGTTTTAAATACTCCATGTACAAGGGAAAAAAAAAAGTTTAAATTAAAAGTACTGCCTAAAGGCCAAGGTATGACGCCAAGGTTGTTATAAGCAGTAACAATCAATGATAAGAAATGTCTAACATCAGATAGGGGTGTGAAGCAGTAGTCCTTTAAATAAAGTCCAGACTGATGCACTCTTTTAGTCAGTCTCTCCCCAGGGTTGTTGCTGTTATAAATAGTGCAAAGAAAATGGATGAGTAACACAAACACTTTCGAAAGAGGTTCAAATACAGATCATATGAGCATTTCTTGGCCCATCTCTGGGTGTCAGAGGCAGAATTTTCCCAGACATTTTCAAAAAATCTTAAAACAATGGCTTTCAGTGAGCTAGAAGAAAGGGAATTTATACTAAATCAGCACTCTTTGAAGTGCCCTTGCATGTTAATGTCATAGTCTGCTAAACTCAGCTGAGAATTGCTCTAAATGAGGGGTTAAAAGGCTAGTTTACCTAAACTCATTTTCTAGATCAAAATACAGTTGAACCATACATTTTTTTTAATGATATAACATTTGTTCCACTTTCCACACTGTTGGTTTAAGGGCAGCTTCTGGGTGCACAGGACCGCACAGTTAGTCTTGTTGTAAATGTAGATAAAATGTCATTTTATCTAGTCGACAGTGACTTTTGGCTCTTTCATCTTACCAAATTCATGAGTGAAACTGCATATATCGTTGGGCATGAACAAAACATGAACCTATCACGTCAATGGAACACATGCCATGAACAAACCGCCATGGTAGGTGCGGTAGTACAGGCAAACTGAGATCTGTGAGAAGTTAGAAAGAGGCCATCAAGCTCTGGGACATGAAAAGTATGTTGGCAGAGTGTTTGACTGAGGTTCAGCGATGCATCAAAGGAAATTCTGATTTCCCTGCTTGCCTTGCCTTGAAGTTACTCCCCCAACCCATCTCTCCATCTTTCTCTCTTTTTCTGTGTACTTGCAGAATGTTTCCTGGGGTAAGCAGTACTCTTATGCCCTCTTCAAAGCCATGAGTCACATGCTGTGCATCGGATATGGTGCCCGGGCACCCGTCAGCATGTCTGACCTGTGGATCACCATGCTTAGTATGATTGTGGGTGCCACGTGCTACGCTATGTTCGTGGGCCACGCTACGGCCCTTATCCAGTCATTGGACTCCTCACGCAGACAGTACCAAGAGAAGGTAAGGATCCTAAAGCGACACACACGAAACATAACGCTTAAAATGCAAAGGAGATTGAGTTAATACAATATACATCTCAATGGTCCAAATCATTAAGATTTTATCGTTTCAAGGTAAGTAAAGCTAATTATCATATATCAATCTGAGTGATTTGCTCTTTTGGACTGTGTTCAATACTGGCCTTAACTTAGCTTTTCTCCCAGTTGCTTGAGAGACCAATGAGTTGAGCTCCCACAGATCACAACGGTTGGGACTATGACTTGTAAAGAGGATTTCTTTCCCTGCCCAAGCAGGTCACATAGGTCACTGGGGTGAGGAGGTCCATGACACGACCGGTCACCTCGCTGTCTGTACGCTGCCTGCAAGCAGAATTATTATTTTTTGCCTTTTTTTTTGTCATTTCACCCCCTATTACATCATTACAGTTATTTTATTTATTTATTTCTTCACGTGGCGAGCGATTACCCGGCCTTTCACCCAGCCACCATCTGTGATCCTGCTGAGGGGGCCCGGGCATTTCCCAGAACACCCGGCCATGACTGATGTGCTTTGTGTTTGCACGCAAGAAGCCAAGTTTAATTCCCCAAGTTTGCTTAATGTTGCTGACTTGTGCATGTGTTGTAAATACAACACTGCGCTACAGACTATCAAAATCCTCCATGCAGTGTCATGTCAGAACACACTTAACGATTTAAAAAAAAATAGTTGAAGACTTATGCCGTAACAACACTGAGGCCAGCTTAGACAGAAAGATTTTCTGATAATGTACATTTTAAATCTTTTATGTAAGGCACTTTTCAAAGGACGTTGCTTTTCTGAAAGATGTTAAAGGAAAGAGCAATACAAAAATAACCCATAATCTATCTTTGTAAATTGTTATTCAGGAAATATAAAAGAAAATCTACAGGATTACAGTTCACCTCCCGAGGACATGAACTACTTCTTCAAAGTTCCACATCTAAACTCTTTTCATTTCAAGCCTTGACCTCTGTTTGAAATAGGTACCTATGAGAGTTACAAAATACAGGAAATTTCCCTAAAACCAGGCCAGAGTGCGATTAAAAAAAAAAAACATTGAAATCCTAACTGTGATTTAGCAAGATGGTAGCAGCGCAAATTAATCAGCTCTGATGTTGTTGAAACAGTAAGATTTACATATCCCCTAAATCCAAAAACGAATTCAACCTAATGGCTTGTCATAACGTCTGCATATGTCATGTTTTATTAAAACTAAAGTTTTTAACTGGAAAGATGTTGAATAATTATTTTTAAAAAACACACATCCTGTCCCTGTTTGTTTTATCATTTCTTGCTTTGGGCATTGACAGAGTGGCTTATCGTTTTACCAACACCTGACCATTTGGCATTTTATTTAAATGGCATTAAAAAACCTGGGAAACCTTTAAAAGCCCCAAGTGCCCCTAGTGTATCCTTAACAAAATTATAATCAGTTATGAAGAGATGGAAAGCTTCACATTAAACCAAAATTGTAGGTCAGTCTGAAACCTAGATGCCAGAGACTAATCCTTACATTTGAGCCCCTGGGAAAAAGTGAAAGTTTATGGTGAGCATAACCTTTTAATAAGGAGGAGAGCACAACAGATATACAAATTAGATGTTGTTTATCCCATGAGAGGGTGTTGCCATAATTCCTATCAGAAAATCAGCAGTCACCTTGGCTTTGACAATAATAGGACATGCTAAAGAACCATTTCATTAATCTAAACCTTAGAAAAGCATTTAGATGGTTTCAATTTATTCAAGTACGATGGCCCGACCTTGCCAGCTGCCTTCACGGTCGATGCAATCTAGAGAATCCACTCGGTGCTTTTGACAAAGCTTTACAAAGCTGTTCAACATGGCATTTAAAAATGGTCATTACTGCATAATTGCAGTGGCTAACTTATGAGTATTTGCAAAAGTGCTTTAAATAGAGCTCCATTATCATTCAGAGCAGACCACAATTCACAATTAAAAATGACTTAATCCGAAAAATGTGCCAAACGCAAGTTTAAAATAAACTCCTGTGATCCAGATCGTATTTTTGTTAAAAGCGTTAGCTTATGTTATTTGGAATGGTCATTACTAGTTTTTGCTCTAGAATCAAGACATTTAAAAAAAAAAAACTCTCTGGACTGGAACAAGATTTGATCATAAACTGCTATTTTCCAGCATATTGCAACAAAAACGAATGACGGACGAAGGAAGAGAGTGATTTTTGAAGTTGCTGTTTGAATTAGTGACGTCTCTTACACAGAATTGCGATTGTGATTGTGAAGTGATTAACATCTGCTTCACCGGATATTTGCTTAATCGACATCCTTTTTTTTTTTTTTTAAATAAACCCCCAAGGAACTGAAGTGACAGCTTTGTGGATGCAAATGCTCGTGTTTGCAGTTAGAGAGCCCCAGTGTGTAGCCAGGTTCATCCAGGGATGATTTGCTGCATGGCTGTGCATATCACTGGAGCAGGATGAGGAGCAGCAGGGATGAGTTCAGGGTGCTGAGCCTCTAGTCATTACATCTATCTCTGCCACAGCTGGGGGGTTGGAAACATGGATGGAAAGATGGATGTGGGTGTGTGCTGGCAAGTTATTTGAGGACAGAGTGTGTTTGTGTGATGAGAAAAACTGATGCAAGTAACCGTGTTTGCCAAGTGCACGTCAAGTTACCAAAAAACTTTTAACAGAGAAACGGGAAAATGACACTATTCCGGTTTGTTCAGAGTGGAGGGAAGTCAGGCAGAAACGCAGAAGGGAGAAACAGAAATGGGAGTAAAGTAACCATGAAGTCAAGGCACCGTGCTGCCATAGTTTGGTGCTGAATCATGGCGAGTCAGAGGAAAGCTGTGAAGTCATTTAGCTGATCCTGAATCTCTGAATTTCTGTTATCCACTTTAACAACCAATTATATTTTAATAGGTGTTTGAACACAAACCTAAAAAAAAAAGAGTTGTGAAATTTTAAAGCACAAACGCTGGTCTGAATGGGCTACATTATGAAATAGAAAAGGAGATGGACAATTGGAAATGGATAAGAAAGATTAGGATGGTGGTCAGGAACAAAGAAAATGACCCCATTAACTAATCAACTGATATGAAAGAATGGAAAAAATGTTCAAATTGATATGATTTGTATGTAATCCTATGTGAGAATTATGTGAGGATGAAAATCCTTCCGAAGCATAGGGACCATACAGAATGTGCCCCGCTCTGCCCCACTTTGACCGCCACACCATGTCCACACGGCCCGGTTGAGCAACTATCCAGCTTTAGCCGAGTGAAGTCAAAATAAATCAGTTTCCCACAAACAAAACCCTGCTCCCTTATCACCTTTCTGCAGATGGGAGGGAAATCAATGAGGGGGACATCGTGCCTCGAGTGTCTTGTCCCTCGCTGACAAATTTCATTTTGTGGGGCCGGTTGCATCACACTGGTCAAAGAGCATGCCGCCGGCCTGAGCTACCAAGCTAACAGCTGCTGCTGTCCTCCCCTACTGCCGCACTGTGATTGCCAAAGGGAGTGTGAGAACCACTGTTTATTTGCTGGTGTTAGGGAAGTAGACTGTTTGGGAAGATTGTGTTCCACCACTTCCTGGATGGCAAATCTGTGAGGATAGAAACTGATCAGAATATATGAGCCGGAGAATCTTTTCCCTCAGATCGAAACATGCTTTCAGGTTAGCGTGAGCAGAATTTAAACGGTTACTGGCAGTGATGCACAGGAATTACCTGTCTGCAGCCAAATGTTTGAATAAGGCAGATCAGTTTTTGTTATTTAAAGCAAAACAAAGCAAAAGAACAAAAAGGAGAGCCAGCCACCACAAAATTGTTATCCATCCATCCATTTTCTGAACCGCTTATTCCCAAATGGGGTCGTGGGTGGACTGGAGCCTATCCCAGTAGTCCACAGGAGAGAGGCAGGGTATACCCTGGACGGTTCGCCAGCCCAAAATTATTATCATTATTTTTCTTTATGGAGAAAGATAAAAAGAGAGATTTTTTGTTTTATACACGCTGAAGTCTGAACATAATGAATGTTTTGGTCGAGGATCATCTCTCTTTTGTGGAGAAAATTCATATAGACTTTAGCATGGTTAATAGTATCTATGTTTTCTTCTGGGATTTGATCAAATCCATTCTTCTTCTCGTAATGAAATGTCCTCAGTGCCACTGGCTTTTTACTTTATAATCTCCAAAAACATTTTGGCTGATCACATCTAAAAGTTCTATTTTATCCTCTTAAGTCTATAGCACGGACTCAGACGCACATCATTTTGCAAAATACTGCTTCCTGCCCCATTAAAGTCTGATTTTTACTCAGAGTAGTACCATCAATCTGGCGTTTCAGATTTTCTTCATGACTCCTCCAACTTTGGTAACACTTTTGATACTATAAACATATTTATAACCATTTATGAATTAGTTCATTTGCTCAACAATTAATTTACTCATGAAAGATGATTTCACATCATCAGTTTGTAGGTGCTTGATACATTTTTTCATTCAAACAGATGCATTTAGAATTCTTTGGAGACACTAATCAGTTTTCTGGTTAAACCAAACCATGGACTGAATATTTGGACTCCTTTGAATATGGAGCTTGGCTATTTATGCTGTACGGGACCTGTAACTGTCCAGGATGTCAGGTACACCTTGTCGCTTCATATCAGGACTGGGCTTCCTATACCTCCTCAGTCTAACATAACGCCCAAGCCTGTTCTTGTTGCTACTTTCCTTCACCACCTGCCTCTCCCTCCACACACACTGATGCAGGACGAAGCACCGTGACTGTGGGAGCACAACTCGTCCTCAATACCGAGACACAAATGTATGCTCTGTGAACAACACTTTTCGCTACATTTGCTGTTTAGTTTTAAATCCATGTACAGTATGTTGACTTTGGTATGGATGTATTTAATATTCTACATGTCAAGACATAAAGAACTGCTAAAGTGATCACACGTCAATTTAAAGTGATGCATGTTCTCTGTCCATGTCTCTTCCAGTATAAGCAAGTAGAGCAATACATGTCCTTCCACAAACTACCTGCAGACCTGCGGCAGAAAATCCACGACTACTACGAACACCGTTACCAGGGCAAAATCTTCGATGAAGACAACATCCTGAGTGAACTCAATGACCCGCTCAAGGAGGTGAGAAACATTCCTTGTTAAGAGCTCAGACTCAGTTTAAGCATTCACACTTTAAAGTGTCCATTTGAACTCTTTGAGTTTTCATTTTAGGACGGTAAAAACCTCAAATAATTTTTTTTTAAAAAACGTTCCTGACATGCTGGTGTCACACGTTTTGAAACGTGGATGATTTTGTTTTTCCCCTTGAGGATAAAGGGTGAATCTCCAGTTGGCATGATTAAATGCCAACACCTGTCGTCTCATCTTACAAGGTCAAGCAGAGAAACAGAAAAGTAAATTATTTTTTCAACAGTTGGAGTAAAAAACAACCTGAACATCTGTTAGACGACAAACATGTTTTCTTGATATTCTGAAAAAAGCATTTTAATGTCTAGGTAATTTTGTTTTCTTTATAAGTGAGGGTCTCGTGATTGGTGTGGCTCCATGCATCAGCGTAATACATGGGTAATTATGCAAATAGACACTGGAGAAGTGAAGAATAAACAGAAATGCAAGCAAAAGAGGAACCATCTCTCATGTAGCCCCATTCAGTCACCTGGCAGAGTAGAAGTAGTCTCATAGCTCCAGACACTCACAAAGCATTTAGGGATTTAAACACAGGTTTAACACGGTGAACAGTGCCTCGACTCCCATTTGTATAACCGGCAAAGTTCCTATCCGTGATTTGCTGTGTAACAAAAGCTGACAGGTAAAAACAAACTTGGTCACAGCAAAGCATAACAAGTTCACACTGTCATTCCAGTGGAAAGGTTGAGTTATAATGTGCCGGTTGAGGTTTAGTGCATCCGTCTCTTTTTCCCAAAAGCAAGCGGAAAAACTATCTCTAAACTTGAATATGCCTCATGGTATGCATGATTTAGATGAATGCATTTTAAACTGCAGATTAGCTTTTAATGTTTAGTGTAAAGGTAAGAATAAGTTATCTTGAAACATTGAACAAGCTGCCTGTTCAGCACCCCTCCTTATTTTGGATACTATTACAGAAGCTCAAACAACAAACCCAACTTTGGAAAGTGGGCCTTTTTAACTTTTTGTGGTGGCTTTATGAACAGAGGAGTTACCAGTCACTTGCAACCCCAAACCTGAACCCTTGATGACTATATTTTGACTTCATTTATGTGTAAAATAATCTAACTAATTTTTTAAGTGAGACCCCTTTTAATTATAATACTCTGTTTATTCTAAAGCTGTCTTGCTTCTGATTCAGGATGCTGATCATTTGGACTAATTTTCCTTCATATGTACCAGCTTCAGATGTTTGTCTTTTTAATCAAAATGAAAATCTTTCTAATCTGATTTCCTTGTCTTTGAACTAATAGCTTCATATGCAGAGTTGTCTGCCTGAGCGAAAGCATTTTTATGGAGGACTGTCAAATCCCCAAACAACGATAAATTACTATGATGATATGGTTATATGAAATTTTTATTATGATTTTGTTTGTCTAGAATATATCAGAGGAGCGTAATGCAACACCAGCGAGAACATTATTTTCCTTTGAAAAATGGCTTATCTCATCGGTTTTTAATTATAAATGTCTATTTGCTTTGAAATGTAAGCGACAGAAGGTAAAGGAATATTTCTGTCCTATTCACATAGGATCTACTATTTTCTTGGTTTTGTAAAACCCAGGACATTTTGTGCTGCCTAAAATGAACAAAGTACCCAAATGATGTGATTTTTCTAAAAAACAAGACTCTTCCTAAACTTGCCCTCCACAAATGAATACAAGAATTAGGTTGCTGCAAGCTTGAGCTATCAAGACTGCATGGAATTTATATGAAAACCCTCTTTTATTGAATGAAAATGGGATTTAATTCGATCCCTGCTCTGTCCTTCTTTCCTTCTGTCCTAATCAAACCCCTGGCTTTTAAGGGAAGGATTAATATAAAAACAATACCCTTTATGACATTCTTGTTATATAAATGTTATTATGAAAAGTTTTATTTTAAATGTACATTTTATTAGATATATTTTCAAAACGAGTTTGAACAAAATCTCTGTGGTTTGTTTTCAAATGAACAATTGAATCTAAAACTGACACTTCAGAAAACACGTAAGACAAATGGAAATATAAGACATTTTAAAAAATAAAAACACGATTTTTTTCAATATTTAACTAAATGCAACAAGGTTAAAAATCCTGTCAATTTCTGAGCTGTTTTACGTTCACTTTCCTTTTGTTTCCTCGATTACCATTGCGTTTTGTGGTTACTGGAAAGCTGGGGCACACTAGTAAACGCAGACATTCTAAGTACAGATCTCTTTGTTTGATATATTATATTTGCAGTTCAGTTAGCAGGTTGTGTATGTCAGACCTCAGACCAACTGCTGACCTTTTGAGGCAGGGTGCACCATATGCGCACATATCCCTTCCAGAGCGGATGTTATCTTTGTGTTCATCTCCCTTTTAAGCCTAATGCGACTATGACGCCACCATTGTCAAGACACGCAACAAAATCTTTCAGGCTGGCAAATTTGAAAGCTTCAGTTTGTATTCAAGTTTGCGGTGAAGTTTGGTTTCAAATGACTTCTTTTTAAAGAGAGCATCCAGATTCCCAACAGGCTAAGAGGGACCTTACCAAACTGCAAAGTGGCATTTCAAAATGACAAATACACTGTGTGATAAAATGCATCCTCATGCTCTCTTTTTCCTGATTCAATTTAATTATATATGAAAATAAATGGAAATGTACATAAATATATGCAATGTACTATGGAAATGGGATAAAATATGTGAACAGCTTACTTCTCACAACCTAACTTGTTTGCTGTCCTCTACAGCCCCTTTCCTCTGTTTCCCTGCCTTTTATTCTCTGCCATATGAAAAATCTTTAAATAGGCATAGCCAAAGACTGTTTTCCCGAGAGGAATCCCAACAGAGTCTGAAAAATGCTTACCATCTAATTCATTATTTCTGGTGCATGATTGAGGGCATTAGCTGACACACACATCCGAAGTTGGGCTAACATTCTCAGCGTTGCCCTCGTGGAGTCGGCAAACATTGCAGAGATTGGTTATCTTTCTGGTTATGTCCTCTTGTCACTGGAGGGGGGTTATCTCATGCGGGGTCAACAACACAGCACTGCAGATGCCAAGTGCCCCGGCTTTCCATCTGCACAGCAACAGAGATGCGTGGACAAACAGACAACAAGCTCCTAATCTCCTGCTGCGTCTGAGGGAACAGGATGAGACAAGAGTGATGGCCTGCAGCCGGCACCAGTGAGCAAACTCATCAGGATCTGAATCATGTGCCAAACATTTTCCTCACAGGATATAAACGGGAAGTGCTTCAGAAGTGCTGGGGCTAAATCAGCACTGTGCGTCCAATTCATTTCTGTAGATAACAGCGGCAGAGCAGAGAGTTTGAAGTGTTTTTGTTTTGTTTTGTTTCGTTTGGTCACATCACTTAACCCCTTGGATCGTTTTTCCCGTGAATCATTCATGACATGGTTTTGAACAGTTCCAATAAACACTTTCCCTTTTTTTTCTTCTACCAGGAAATCGTCAACTTCAACTGCCGTAAACTCGTAGCCACCATGCCTCTGTTTGCCAATGCGGACCCCAACTTTGTGACCGGGATGCTGAGCAAGTTGAAGTTCGAGGTTTTTCAGCCCAATGACTACATTATCAGGGAAGGCACGGTGGGGAAGAAGATGTACTTCATTCAGCACGGTGTGGCAAGTGTCATCACAAAGTTCAACAAAGAGATGAAGCTTACTGATGGATCCTACTTTGGAGGTAAGAGCAAAAAACCTTCACTACTGCTTTTAATGACATTTGACAAACAAAAATCAGACATAAGGATACTACCAGGCCTAGGAAAAACATGCTATACGCAGTCGTGATTATATGCTCGCACAGTATGGAATGAGGAAAAGGGCCGCCTGAAGGCTTGCGTTTGATGCTTTTGGAAGTTAAGGTATTGCAAATTGTCATTAACCGATGCTGGACGTTAGTCAGCCTCTGTGGTTACATAACATCTCATCTGGTAGCTGGATCGGGCCAAGGCGCGGATCAGGCACCCCTCAGGACACACAGATATTCCTCCCCCACTCTCCATCTCATACACACATACACGTGCGCACATTCTTCTCCTCCTCCGTACGTTCTTGCTGAATTTACGCTCTGGATGTTTCTGCTGTGCATTGTCAGAAGCTATTTTCCTTTGTTGTGTTTTTGGCTGTGCCTTCATTACAGACATTACAGATACCATTAATTTTTTAAATGTCAAATGTAATTTCATTCCACGCTGTTTACTCCAGTGAAATCCGCAGCCAGACGCTGTCATGTCTATATGAAAGCAGAGCAAAGTTTCCTATTTTAGGGCTTCCTGCATATTTTATCTCTTGAGTTCATCCCCACAATGGGAGGAGGCTAAGGAGTCTAAGAATACCTTCACATTGGTGTGTCTGTTGAATGCAGCGTGTATCACACAGGGGAGCCAGTCAGTGAACAAAAAAGGACAGAGGTGACTTTCCTTCACAACTGCTGCCTGTGCAAATGTTTTCATGCTTGGTCAAACTTTAAAGTAACCATATTAATATTTTCTAAATATTTCTAAAGGTGTAAAGCAAGGAAAAACAAAAAAGAAACAACAATTAAACAGCAGACCAAAGAAAAAACTGATGTACCCAACAATGTCACTAATAATAAGTTTAAATAGTTCAGAAATGTTCAGAAAAAAGAACAGCAAACAGCCTCAGATTCAGAAGGAATGTTGGCTTTTTAAGATGTTTTTTTTATTATCAAATGGCATATAGCAGCTAAGAGCATAGTGTCCTATCTTTAAATGGACTCAGTCAGAATCCTGGATGATAAAAGCTACTCAGGGAGGGGCCATTAAGCAATTAATCAAAGATTTTCGACTCCATGAAAGGTTTCTGTCATTCTGTCATTTTTACCTGTTATGACACACTGCAGTAATTAGAAATCTAACTACTCATGCATACAGCGCACATCCATACTTGAAAACATTCAATATTTTGTTAAGAGTCTGGACATAATGAATATTTATCTTATTTTATTAAATTAGGACTCAAAAAGCACTCAACATTTTTTGCAAAAAGACATCTCAGCTCATTGTTCCCCTCATAAATGAAGAAACTTATAGATTCAGAAAAAACAGGCACTTTAAACAAACTTGTGTGGTCTCATAATGTGCAGAGACTCCCAAAGCTTCAGCGGTGTTTTTTTTTGGTTTTTTTGCAGCACAGAAGGAGCACCTGAAAGTGTAACATCAGCAGACGCTGTGAAATAAATCACATATAAAGGCATGACGTGCACAGAGTAGGAACTATTTGCAGGATATGCTGCTAATTTAATTGGCAGGAGATGCTCTGGTATTGGATTCTCCTGCTGTTTGCCTTCTGCCCCGATAATGTTTTTACCTGCTTGTATGACGTTGGTTCACGAACAGTGTCCAGATGACGCACTGCAGCCTTACAAGCAGACTAATCTGTGGCTAGAATGAAAATCAGTGAGGAGGGCTGAGACAGAAACAGGTAGAGAAAGGGCAGAAAAGAATCTGAGCCAAGACATACGCTAGGAAACTATTAGCATAGTAATTAGTTGGACATTTATGAGGACAGTAGGGCATAAAGCACCTTTAGCCATGGTCAGTACAACACCCGCATACTAAAATGATATCACTCTTGGGCTTTAGTGGATAGGATTACATCTCTGTATTAAACGGCTCTGCTTGGATTCAGGACTATTAGAATATGAAGCCTGTAAAAATGGCAAACAGCAGGGAAGAACACCTTTTGGGCTAGAATGTCTGAGTCATATGACTAACTTTCCTCAGTTCCTGTCTTGAGCAGACAGCAGGGAGGGGAAGCGGTCGCCATGAGAATGTGTGACACATGACGTGATGGCAAATTATCCACAATGCTCCAGGGGTCAACGGTGATGCTTTGTGACAAGGCAACAGACACGTGTCAAAGTGGATCATGGGAAGTGATAACAAGGCCCTGACACACACATAAGCACAAACACACCTTGAGATGCACCAAGTTTTTTTCCACTTGACAGGGCTGATATTTATGAAGAGTTTAAGGGTCTACTTCTGGTGTGATTGTTTTAAAAAGAAAACAAACACACAGACACATATGTATATATATTTATATACTGTATATATAAATATATAGAGATATTTATATATTTATATACTGTATGTGTATATATATAGACAGCACAGAGGTGCCAGAACATTGGACATAAGTCACCACAGCATTGATCGTGTATTGTTGTGTAATGGATCCGCAGGGCCCCTGAAGGATACGATGTCAGTGTCATGTTTTGCATTGCCTAGGTGTCAACTACATGCTGCTTTCCTACCCCAGCAGAGAATTGAATTAAAGATTTTGGGAAAAGCTGATTTTTCTTTTCAAATTTTACCACCCGTATCAAATTGGCCAGTGTATGTAAAAAGAAGATATTTGTAATATTGCAGTAGTAGTTATTGTAAGAGAACGTCCAGGGTTTGTCTGACTACGCTTCGTGTAAATCATTTGGTATTAGATCAGATAGTGCCATTCATTCAACCATCTATTATCTGTCCTCACTTATTCTACCTCAGGGTCTCAGTGGGGCTAGAGCCAATCCCAGCTGTCATTGGGCAAGAGTCGGATAATGTCCTATTAGCATAATGAAATGGCCAGCAGTAGAAATAAGGCAGCATTACAGATTGTCACATATTTTCCACAGGCTCATCTTAACATTTAGCCTAATTTTCTGAGTCAACAAGTTTAATGAATTCCTCAAGTTATTTTTTTCCATTAAAATGTATGTTAATATTAGAATCTCCTCAGCCTGTTTTTTTTTGGAAACTTTAGATATTTTTTCCCTTTTTTCTTTAATCAGCTTTTTTGTTCATTTTATGAATGTATTTGGAAATTCCTCCATATATTATGAAAATGTTCTAAATGTGATATTTAAAGCCATATTTACAGTCCAGTTTATCGAAGATTCTTACAACATGCAACTGCACAGACATCCTAAAAGTCATCACACAACAGATAGTTGTCTTGCTGCAATTCCAAAATCAGAAATAATAATTTAAAATACGTTTTTCTGCTTTGTTGATTGAGAAACATAAATCTGAGTGTGCCCTTTTCTGAAGAGCTTAGTTTGAAATATTCCTAAACAGAGAGCAGTAGGCACAGGGGAGCATTAATTTTGCATAATGAATATGTTAAGTGGCTAGACAGCAGCATTTCTTACCAGAAACTAAAGATTTAACCCCTTTTTAAACTGTATGTTATATTCTGCTCACCCACAGCTGCTTGCACCACCTTCCTATTCGGGTAACACGTTTACCTCTATCCCCTTTTCTGAAATAACAATCAACCGGGCTCTTTTTACTGTCACTCTCCCTTTTTCTGTGCGTCTCTTTGTGTTAGAGGTACAGCTCACTGTAAAGGGTGCTTTTCCATTCCAGCAACACTAACACGTTCTTCACACCCACAGCTTGAGAGTGTTGCTCGCACATCTTGCACACTCTGTGCTCTATTTTCATGACAGCTCATGGTAGGGCCCAGAAAGATCACACCATAGCAAGTTAACATTTCACTGTGTGGAGGGAAGTTGTGCAGTAGACTGCACCCAAGTGCAAATGTGGGTGGAGGTTAAGCAGCTTTAAGATACAGGGAGGTAAAAGTGGAGGAGGGACCGAGTGATCAATGAAGAAGCAGGGGTTGGATAAAACTTGACTTTCTGTGAGAAATCTCTGCAATTGTTGGATGTAGATATAACACAGAGCCCACGATCATTTCTTCATCGGGAACTCAAAAAGATGGTGTGCATGGCTAATGATCTACCCTCACAGGGAGCTGTAGTCAGGCCTCTGAATATGTGGATTGTAAATTATATCAGTTGTATGTATTCAACATACAGTTGTGTTAACTGTGTTAATTGGAAATTAGCCAACATAATGTGAGATCAACCAGCATGTTTTTCTGTTTTGTTTCGCGTTTTTTTTTTCAAAGAACCCTCTCTAGGTGAGCTTTTCTGTGATGCAGCACAAATATTCTCATCAAGACACAAACTATTTGCAGAGAAGAAGGATGCCTTTAGGGCTTCCTGCCAAAAGGTACCTGGAATACAGTTTATAGAAAGCTGTGAGAGGCAACATGTCACACATCAAACTCCTTGCAGTAAAAAGGCTGTTTGAATGGATGCAAAAGAGAGATGTTCAGATTCGAGGTTTTCGGTAAATTTTCTTAATATTTGTTTTGACTCATGTTGTGGAAAATGAGGTATTTGAGTGTTCTAGTTCATGAAGTTGATTTGAGCGCAATTTTTAGGCATTGTTTGACTTTTAACCTTCCATCTCATCATGTGGGGAACAGCACTATGGGAAAGTTGTGAAACCGTATCCTTGTTTGATTAAACATTACATTTTAGACTGCATTAATGCGGCAGTGCAGTGATGCCTGACAGTAAACCCGATCACTGTATCACATTATAGGACTATTATCCATCTAGAATGATGAATCCTGTGCGCATAATCCATATGACAACACTGCTAATGGATCCTCAATTTTATTTACATTCACATTAGCTCTCCTACTTTCAAACCCTTTGTACTTACAGTTCGTCTATATGAGGATAGAGTAATTTCTGGGATGATTTCCTTTATAGCCCTCTGATATCTCCGATAGCGTTACTGCTCTGATGTGTATTCTTTTGTCTCCCTGTGTCTTCTCCATACAGAGATCTGTCTGCTCACCAAAGGCAGACGGACTGCGAGTGTGCGTGCAGACACCTATTGTCGACTCTTCTCCCTCTCGGTCGACCATTTTAATGAGGTGCTAGAAGAGTACCCCATGATGCGCCGTGCTTTTGAAACTGTAGCCATTGACCGATTGGACCGTATTGGTAAGAGTTTCATCTCCCACCTCTCTGATTGGTCGAATCTCTTGCCTGTCATCGTGCCTTGTGTGTCTTGTCTTAATCATTATTCGTTTTGCCTCCTTTTGTCACAAAAGCATTGTGTATGTCATCTTGTGCTGCATGACCAGTATGCTATTCCTCTTTTATTTTTTTTATTTTTGATGTTTCGGTTCTTTGTTCACTTCTGATTCTGTGTCTTAAATAACATTAAAGTGCCATTTTGTTGTAACCAGCATTAATCCTTCAAATGAACCAAAGTAGCATTTTGTGATTGGATTAATTGGAAGGCAGTGCATGTCGCTGTCCGGGAGGGAGTCAGGTCGCCCCCTTGTTGGTTTGGTGTTGACCCCTCCACTGGAGTTCAGCGATTGGTTGGAAGCTAATCTCACGTGCATGTGTGTCTGGCCCTATTTCCACTCATCTACACTCCTGGGTATGAGCAGCACCCCGCCCCATATCAGACTTTTCCAAATCAACCCGGCACAAACCCCCTGCAGGGAAGCAGAGAGCAGGGCCATAAGTAAGGTTCTCATGTCCATCAGGTCCAGCCCAGTTTGCTGACACATCAGCTCTCACCAAAAACAGTATTAATTGTCTTATAGAGAATGAATGTTTATAGAAGACAATGAGAGAATATTGTCAGAATATATGATAGATGATATAGGTCATTTAGACCTACACTGAGTTTTCTTGGATGAAAAAGGGGCACATGTATCTCACAAACTGGACAACAAATGTCAATATTGAATATTGTAACTTCCCTGTGTACGTATGATCAACTCTCTAAAATTGTAGTGTCATCATTTGGCCACACAGTTTCACCACTGCGTGGTGAAGTCACATTCAAGTTGGAAAAGACATTTAGTTACAAGGGTGTAAGCGTATGAGGAGGATTACTTTGATCAGTTGATGTCACAGGAACTACTGTGCATCTTTTAAGAACTGGTATCACAGGGAGTAACAAATGAGATTACCCTTAATTCGGGTAATCTCATTTGTTCCTCCCAGAAATACTATAACTGTATCCTGTGTCAGTCTCTATAACAGAATTGAAAACACACGTGAGGCCAATATAAAATCTCTAAGGACTATTCAAATTACAACATCATAAGATTATAGAATCAATCTTGAAATTATGAATTCAAATTACTCCTCTTGAATATATGTATTTAAATATATATATCTATATATACATAAATACAGAGAGAGAGAGATTATATATATATATATATATATATATACGTTGTAAGATATATTCTGTCAAAAATAAGTAAATCATTTTTCAAATGTTTAATTATTACTAATCATCATTAATGATAATTATTCTGATCGTTACTGTTGCGTTATCAAACTGTGACACAGAAACAGAAAAATCATCTTCAATCAATTCGGTGGCTGAATCCAAATTGTTTCAGGGAGAGGAGTCAGACTTCTCCTGAGGTTATTTATAGTTTATATTGTCAGCTTATGTGGCAACTCATTATTATAATTACGCCTCACTCTGTTGCCTTCATATTTCTGGCTTTTTCAAAAAAGCCACCTTCTTAATGATACTATTTAAATTCTGTCTTGTATCCAACTAGTACACAAACCAAAAAAACAAGACAAAAATAGATAATACTTTAAAATGACTGTTTATACATGGAAAATTGTTTCTATCATGTGTTTTCTTGTGAAACAGGGCTGCTTCGTCTCTGTCACTTATTTTTTGCTTTGTTGTGGGTTATTATTTGTGTTTTACTTTGCCTGAGATAGTTCCATAAGTATCACTGTGTTCATCAAGGTTGACTCAAAGCTGAAATACTGCAATGTTAATATCACTCAGAAACCGATGACAGACATGTGTCACAGCTGAGAGGTTCTCCTTAGAATTGTGTTCATATACACCTTTGTGTGGAGTGGGGGTTATAGTGTTGCCTGGATGGCTGGATTATACTCAAACATCTGCAAAACCTCAACCTCAGCCCTCAGCGTAAAAGTTAATCCAATGAGATTCAAATTAATTTGAATTGACTGAAAGTTTTTCATTTTGATAAAATTTGCTATTTTTCAAAAAAATGTTGAATACTTTATGACAAAAATTTCTCCAATCCAAAAATGACATCTCCTAAATCTTTCCATAAAAGCATCCGCTAAATGTAAGTGTAATATAAACTCTCCTTTCTGGTTTCTGCTACACTGTCATCTAACCAGACATCAACACGCACACTTTATGCCACCCTACCTTCTGTATTACAGCACTAACAACTATTTGTATTTCAGTTGCATATGAACATAATCCACAGGAGACAAGGTTACAAACAATGCTGCATAAATTTGGGATTACTGTAACATCTGAGACAAAAAATTTCTTCCCACGTGGTTCAGAGAATAATAGGATGTTTGTCTTGCTGTGCCCTTCACAAGAAATTCTAAACCTCTTTATATCAACATTTTAAATGTACATTTGCCCTTTTTATGACAGTTACTGAACCAGCAGAGTTAGATTTTTAGTATTGTAGAAGGAAAGCACTCTGAATGGCACCTCTCAGTAGTAGATCCATCCTTTCCAAACCATTCTCACTTCCAGCTCATCACACACTGACGCCTAGTCAGCAGCATTAGCTCTGAATGCAAAGGGTACCCACAAGCATCCTTTAAGCCAGGATATGCGCGGTATTCTGACTTAGTCATGCGGCATGTCACCATGGCACTGTTGAAAATATTAGGAACGCTTACGCAATTAAATGTGTGTTGCTCTAAAATCAATGCCCAAAAATGCCTTCTTAACCCAAGGCAAGCTTTAGTACTGGAAAGGAGCAAAAATAAATGACTGAAAAAGTAGTGGACGTCTCTCCCTTTGTTGCTAGGGCTCAATTCCCCTATTATTTTTCAAATTAATTTATGCAATGTCTGTCATTTGTTGATGGGCCCACACTGCTGAAAGCAATTTTTATGTCACTTCTGTGGTAACAAAAATGACAACATGATGCTGAAGTACCCTGCGTTTTTAAAAAAGTACTTCTGACCAGGCGTCAGTGTGTGATAAATTGGGAATAAGAATGTGTAGTCCTTTCAGACTAAAGATGAAAGGGGTTTGTCTCATACGATGGAAGATATTTTGTCATGATCCGTTCTGGTTGTATCGTTTCTACGTATGGACTGCATTTGGTTACATGCTTGTCTTGCTCTGAAAAAGGAAAGAAAAAAGTAACCATGCTTTGAAAACAGTAACCTGTTGCACATTTGACATTATCTTTTATCTATCTAAAAATTATTTGACCAGGAGTCCGTCTTGAGACGAGCACATCTCGTTTTCAAGAGTGTCCTGGCCGACGAGTAGGCACAAGGTAAACACTTTACTCCAATTCCAATATTCAAACAGGGGAATTTGACCTGTTGAGGCTTCCTAATGGATCTGGTCTCAAACTCATCCCCAACAGTTTGACTTTTTACTTACGGTTACATTACCTGTTTAATTTCTGCATCAGTAACACATAACTCAAGTAACCCATGCAAGGCCTGCACATAGTGTGATGGACAAAATTTAGAAAAGACAATCAAGAAAACAAAGGATATGTATTTTCTTTGATTTGCCATCTTTAGTTTTTTACAGTATCACTGAACAACCAGCTGAAGTACACACTCACATCTATTTGTGTCACATTTGAAATCAGTTTACGAATCCTTTGCTGAAAGTGTATTCACATGTGCAGATTAGTAAAACTTTTACTAATGCAAAGACACATTTAGTTTTTTTGTCACATGCCAGATCCCATTTCATTATATTTCATTATGATCACCAATTTTTAAATTTTGTTTCTGATTGTCTGACATGAAATAAGAATTCTGTCTTGTGAAAAGAAAAACTGTAAACTGACACCATTCATGGTAAACTGAGCCTTTTGTTTTGTCCAAAGCCGTCACTTTTAAAATTTTCTTTGCATTTTTTTTCTTTATGTAAACACAAGATGTGTGTCATGTTTGTCTACTTTAAAGGGCTACAGTCCATTACGATAATTATTTTTTTGAAAGCCATTTAAATTAACAGTCCTTTCTAAAATGTTGTCTGCAGCAATGTAGATTAAAAAAGAAACAGTAATTTACACAGTTGTAAATTAGAGGTTAAAAGAAATTTTCTTGGAAGCTGCGTAAAGAAAAGCTTAGTTAAATAAAGATAATTCATTTTTGTATTAATTTAAACGATACAAAGACAATATATTAAAAGTTGTTATAGTGTTGTATTGTTCCATTGTTATACTATTATAATATTCCATTCAGCATTTTTAGCTGAGCTAATGTGCTGATAGTGATTCTGATGGTCTCTTTTCTCTATAGCCTGGAGGACTTGTCTTGATTCCAAAGAAAATACTTATCTAAGTATGATTAGTAGGGTCAAATTTTTTCACGCAGGCTGTTACTAATTGACGCTGGGCAAAGTACCAAAAGCAGATTTCCTGGATTCTGTTTATATAAAGTTTATCTAAAGGGGTTTTTGTCTTTGCAGAGAAGAATTTTAATTTGGGTTTGTGGATGTAAAGAAAAGTGCCACATGTTTTAGACGTGTTTCTGATCCCATACCGTGGATTTGATGTAAGAATCGACATGTCCTTTTTCAATGCAGAGTTGGCTTGAGCCTTGAAAAGCAAAGCCATTTAGTCCAGGTCTCAGCATAGTGCTGTGCATGCTGCCAACTGGAAATTCTGAATCTTTTGATAACAAAACACATGATATTACTGTCATACTTCTGTTAAAATGAGGCCCTTTCCCTAAGACTTCCTTACTTTTCTACTTTTGACATATTGTCTTTCTACTATTCAGGATAATCAGTAACTTTTTAGTCATGGACGCATCTAGCTTTTTCTTTGAAAATTTAAGCCTTTCGTTATATGTTTTATTGATATTGTTTGTTAACATTTTGTGTTTCATTTGTTTTGTTATTATTTGTTCATTGGCTGTCATACTGTTTTATGATATGAGCCCATTGGCTATTTTAAAATACTATTAAACGTTTAGTCTGCTATATATCCAAATCAGATGGGTTTGCATAAGCAAAAGGAACATTTTTAAATATATATAATTATAATATGTGTATATTATGTGTATACATGCACACACACACACTTGCAATGACCATCATTTAGTACACTGTAAAGAGATTTTTTTATAGAATACATGCAATATGACAGGTTGTTGTTTTTACATATCAAGTGTGTTTGTCCTTGAGACCTGGTTGTAATGATATCGTGAGTGGTTCAATTTAGTATTCAGATCTAGACAGTATATAAAAAATAGAGATAGCCCAGATACAAGAGGGCATCCATATTCATTAGTGTCATAAGGATTATTTAGTGGTAAACACATTTAAGCCTGGCATTTGATAGTTTACCACTTTATCTATGTTTAATATAGTGTCAGTTATGTAACAAGAATACGTTAAGAGTTTACAGCATTAGTGTATCTCTCTACATTGCCGTTGATTTCTGTAATCATGTTACAACAGGGGAAAGTACCAGCTTCCTGTAAACTGATTTGAGAAAATAATTGCCCTCTGAAAGTAAATGTGTTTTATAGGTGACTGTTAATTACTAAAAGGCATTTAAAAAAATTGGTAAACTCGCCCAAAATGTGTAGCAGTGTGTAAAAAAGTAAACATTCACAAAATCTTGAAGTTGAAGCAATACTTTCAGATTCCAAACGTACCAGATGACTGTTGGAGAGCAGGATACCTTATTTAAAAGCAGATGTTTTGCCAGTTTGCTGATGTGGTGCATGCTAATATTGGATAACCTAACACCAAGGAAGAGAAACACCATCCCCGATGATATGAACCAACTGTGGCACCCACCATAGATACAATTTCTCTCATATTTCCATTTTTTAGAAAAAGAAATAAATGTTTTTTCCTTTCGATCTGCAGAGTTTGGGCCTAACAGCTATGTCATTACAATGTAAGAAGGCTTGTAAGGTAACAGTAGTCTCTTAGTTGGTCCTTGTTTTAGCTCTTTAAAACCTGACCCTGTAGAAACTGCTACAGTCAAAGTGTTATACATCAAACATGGAGCTGAGAAAAAAAGAAAAAGTTTGAAAACTTGACACGAATGTATTTTCAAAAGCTACGGCAGCAAAGTTATTTCTCATAGTTGAATGCATGGCTTACGGGCAACCTTCAGAGGAGCAAATGGCAAACTGTGTGGAGAAATTCTCTGCCCTCAAGGACAGGCTTGATGATTGATTGACTGTGGCTAAAGCCTTCAGCATATTAAAAGTCCACTTTGTCTTCTTTACTGACAACGCTTCACAGCTTGTCAATACACGAGGTCAATGGTAATTACAGGAGACACGTCCTCCAGCCAGCAGATAGCCTCTCAAAGAAAATTTGTAAAATAGATAGTTATTACCAGGGTAAAATGTATCTTTTTTCTCATTAACAGACAAGTTTCATGACATCTTTCTTGTCTTTAGTGTTACATATCATTTTATCAGTTTTTCTCACAACAGTACAAATGTTCATAGTGTTTGGAGAGCCATCTGTCACATCTTTGTTATCACACGTCCTCACTCCAGAGAGGCTGGGAAAGATTTGCCTTTGAGCACAAAATGTCTTTTGGGAAACATTATTTTCTTTTTCACAAATCCATTTGTTACTGTATCCAAGAATCATTTTATTGATAAATTGGAAATGAATTAAAATATTAAACCTCTCTAAAATGCTATTTAATCTAGCAAAACGATCATTTGATAATGGCAGCAACATTACATTATTGGTTTTGCGTCATATTCGTTTTGTTAATTAATATTTCCAATTGTTTTATCTATACCCAGATGTAATAATAAAGAGTAGGGTGCTAGGTAAAGAGCCTTGCTTGTTAATCTTACTTCATGTAAAATCTTATCATAATAAGGATATCAAAGAAGTCCTTGGGATGTGTTACATAACTGTGCTGTCAATGTGATTTAGTATTTAGTCAAATATGTCCAATATTGTGGTGTGTGAGTACTATTTCTCAGTATTTTGTCTGTGTTTCACTATTAGCAAATTCACAGTCTTTGCTATCATGTCACTCCTTCATTAATCTGTGTCCCCTTATGTGTCTTTCACTAGTCTTCAACTTTGTATTTCCCATAGTCATCATCATTTAATGTTCTTCACATTTTTTATCTAAGAGGACACAGTTTTTTAGTGGGTCGGAAAAAGATGCAGCTTGTAAAATAGAAATCAGTGAAGTGGTTAATAGATTCATTGATATCAAAAAGGAGAAGAACCTCAGAAGGTGACCATGACTTAAACGTGCGTACGAAAATGTGCACGTGCTTAAGTTCTGATTTAACATTACGAGCTGCCGCTTTGCCACCCAAAACACCTGTCCGTTTCCTGTGTCTGACCTAGCTCTGCCACCACTGCATGTCTTCACCTCTCCCGATTGCGTCCCAACAGGGAAGAAGAACTCCTTGCTGCTGCAGAAGTTCCAGAAGGATCTGAACGCCGGCGTTTTCAACACGCAGGAGAACGAGATACTGAAGCAGATTATCCGCCAGGACAGGGAGATGGTGATGATGGTGGACCGCAAGCAGTCGGTCACTGGGATGAACTCAACCCCTCTGTCCGGAAACTCCATCATTAACTCTCCGGCCCAGCCACCTTACTCCGCCGCCTTCGGCGCCGCTCAGCTGCAGCAGTCTTCGGTACCCATGACCTACAGTGCTTCGGCCATCGCCAACGCCTCCGTCGCCCGCATGCTGCCGGCCGCCGCCGCGGCCGCCGCCGCGGCGCAGGGGGTCTTCCCGGCCCCCAGCGTCTCCCACGGCAGCCTGAATTCTTCCCTGACCAACCCACAGACACCGCTGCAGCAGCAGCAGCAGGGCGCCATCATGTCCCCCTGCTCCTTCACGGCCGCCATGTGCAGCCCGCCCGTGCAGACCCCCTTGGCCGGCCGGAGCTTCCAGTACGGCTCGCCCACGGCCTCGCAGCTGTCCCTCATCCAGCAGCCGCCTCTGCAGCAGCAGCTCGGTCAGCAGCCCGCCGTGTCCGGCGCGGCCGCGGCCTCGGCCTCGGCCGGCCAGCAGGCCTCGCCTCAGCATCAGCAGCAGCAGCAGCAGGTCCCCTCGCCCCAACGGGGAGACATCCACAAGAGCACACAGGCTCTTCAGTCAGGCAGCTTGAGTAGAGATGTCCGACACCTGTCGGCCTCCCAACCGTCACTGCCACATGACACGTCTCTGGGGCCCAGGGCGCACCCGGCCTCGGGGGACTCTCTGGCCTCCATCGTGCCGCCGACGGCGGCGGCCATCCAGGGAATGAGCCTGCAGGGCGGCATCCGCACCACGGTGCCCCAGCGGGTCAATCTGTTCCGGCAGATGTCGTCGGGGGCGCTGCCGCCCGTGCGCTCGGCCGCAGCGGCCGCGGCGGCGGCGGCGGCGGCGGCGGCCGCAGCATCGTCATCCTCAGCCCAGCACCGGGAATCATCACCCGGATCCAGGAGAGATTCCGTCCTGAGCAGTACAGAGACTGAGCAAGACAAAATGCGTTTTGCGTCAAATTTATGATCTCACATTTCCCCTTCCCTCTCTTTTTTTAAACGTAAATGTGTTTCGATTCATTTTTTTTTAAAAAGGAGATAGAACAAAGGAGGTAAAAATTAGGAATTTCAGCATTTTATTTGTCTCTGATTCTCCTCTAAACTAACCTCATAGAAATCCTGTATATATAAGCCCTTGTATTATATTTTAGACAATTTTTTCTCCCTAAACTTAAGAATGTATAATATACCACATGCATTTCCTTTCTTTCAATATATATAAATATATATATATATATATATTTATATATATATATAATTATGAATGGGTTGGTAGGAATGTGTGTATGAATGTGGCCGTGTGTGTGATCACATGTGTAATATCCAAAAACAATATTGGCAATGGCAATTTAAAGCCGTAGTATACAGTAAATATGAGTCTTCCTTTCTGAGAAATATAAGGAATTATATATGATGTATGACTTTTTTTAAATTTCTTTTATTTATCTCCTTGTTTTTTTTTGGAATGCATTGTGGATTGGTTGTTGTTCTTTTAATCAAATTAAAAGGAAAACTGTCTTTTCCTACGAAGCAGCTTTAGGCACCACTGTGGAAACAAATGCAAGTAACTCTGTCAAAGCTACTCTAAAAGCACATGCTCATACAATTAATCTCACATAATTTCCTGAAACCGTGTCTCAGAAATCAACATTAATACTGTAACTACGTATTGAGTTGCACTCAGCAACAATAATAAAGTCTGCTGAGCCGCTGTATCTCCACTGAGGCTCACATTCAAACCATGACAGTGTTATGGGTCCAAAGGGAATAGATCATGAAATTGCTGCTTTATTTGTTCATTTTTGAGGAAGATGCAGTGTGCAGATGGACATGGATGGATGCTGTTGTTTTTCTATTTCTGATTTGAGATGTTATGTAATGTTCCTGAAAAAAGTCTGTGTATATTTATAATATTTATAAACTAAAGATTATCACCATTATGCAATAGACTGTGATATAAAGATTATCTATATGTGTGATGTAAATAGTTTTGTAGGTCTAGAATTTACAAATACTGTGTTGTGCATTCTCTATCATAACAATGTCTTACTTCTATCAGGAACCTGGATATCATCTGTATACAACAAACAAATGACAAATACATGTTTTATAGGAGATAAATAAACCTTAATGCAATAGCTAGCAGGCTTCATGCAGAGAAGTATCTGAGTGAAGAACATTTATGTTCCCATTTCTTCCATGTTTTTTTTTCTTATTTCAAATCCACAAGTCAATGAACTCTCATTTTAGATTTACACAGCCCGATTATAGTGTCACTGACGTTGGTTTCAATCTGAAGTAAATATGTATTTCAGAAACTACAGAGGATCTTTTTTTCACTTAACCTTCTGCTTATATGCATTCATTATCATTTTATTTATATTTTTTAAACATCAATTCAATTTCTATGCTAGCTCAGCTGCCCCTATTTCAGTGTTGTGGTATATTTTCATATCATGAGCAGAGCCTGAACACAACATATTTTGATACACATTTTCGCTCACGGAGATCGGGTCAGTCTTTTGGTTTTTTTCATTTGTTTTTTTGCTACGCCAACTGAGGGGAAAAGAAATGCTGGTATGCATTAAGGTTTTTGTCTCATGTAAATCCATCATGTGGGCTTAGCTACTCTAAACTGAACTGGACATTGAAGCATGGAAGTATAAAGTCAAGCAAGAATATTGTGACTCCATAAAAAGGATAATATGGATTTAAAATGTTTTAAATCTTTAAAACATCTGACTTCTCAGCAGAAATAATCCCGCTATTATGGCTCGCTTGTTTTTTTCTTTGCAATTATAGTGGGTTGCACGTCGTGCTCAAGGCCTTAAAGCAGTCCGCTGGATAAAATATGACATTCAGAATATTTGTTTGGAGTCACAGTTTTCATGGCATCAAATTTCCCATCAGTTGACAGTGACTAAGCCCTTTGAGATACCGTTTTAAAAGATTACAAGTCTTCATCACAGGTTGTGTCGATAGTGTACCAATACAGTCAACCCACCACTGTCATGAAAGCATGCGCCGTCACAAATACTTTAAAAAAAAAGATACTATCTCAAAAAGTTTGACGTAAATGTAATGTTAGATTATGTTTTGTTCATTGTCTGTCTGCCTAGATGTTATCTGTGTGTGAACAGAAGCATTGACTTTACATGAACATTATTAAGTATTTGTGCCTAAACTGTCGCCATGTTCCATCCTTTGTTATGAGTGTGAGCTCAGTGCACACAAGGGTCACTTCTGCACACAACTGCACATTCATTCTTATTATACTCTATGTGTTCTGTGTCTCAGTGTTTTAGACAAGAAAGGAGATAGCGATGATGATGGCCAAATGTCTCAGCTTATAATAATTGGTCTCTTCACTCACAATGTGAACTTCAAGTGGCAGTTGTTTTTATAACACTCTTGATGGAGCTAAATAGAATATGCCATGAGGTCATGTACAGTTTAAAAAAAAAAAAGTGCAATCTTTAGACTTGCAGTAATATCACGCTCAATGAGACATTGTAAAAATTGGAGCACCTTTATACCTTTCTTTGTAGCTAGCCACCGATGTTAGGGTTGTATATTGATGTGTGGAAAGAAACTGGCCAAAGCAAAACATTCAAAATCATTGTCTTTGTTTTAAATTGCACTTTCTGACTTACTGATGAAAAAGGTAGAGATTCTTTTTGCTAGGTTAGATGTTGGATGATCTGATACGGGAGCAATTTCCCAATGAATTTGTGCTGCCTGGATCCTGTTTGAGGTTCTAAATGCGGGAGAGGGGGGGTGTTCTATTTACAACAGAGAGCGCTTAATCGTGAACATGCCATAGTGTATAGGAACTAGTACACAGTCAAGATGGAACGCAGCACTGTTGGTTTGTGCTGTTTTTGATACTTGCCTTTGGAGGGAGAGCTTCCCAACTCTGTGCTTTTTTTTCATAATGCTAATCACAACTAACATACCGGAATGGGCATTAATGGTGGTGTATAACGACAACGAGCTTATACATTAGCAGTTTAGAGACTGTCAACGAACCAGCACATATATATTTGTACGTTTCTTTGCGTTTGTTGTTTTGTTAGTTTGATGGGGAAAAGAGATGCAAAAAGAACTGATAATGCCACGAGAGGACAAACCGAATGTTTATTTGGTTTTGATTATCAGAAGTTTCATATGTTTACTGATGGTGAGTGAAATGCGTAGTGGAGAAAGGGGCTGTAGTGCCGCTGAGCTTCTCGGTCCTCTTCAACCCCACTCACATGGTCATTGTTTAGTTCATTCATGTAATCCAAGGCTTGGAGAAAATGGACTGTCAGTTGGTTGCTTAATAAAAGGGTGAAAGAAAGAGAAATGTAAACTTTCTTACAATAATATGCAGACAAACAGTGTTTGTCAAAAACTTTTTGATTTTTTTTTGTTTATTTTGTTTGTAAATAATAAACCTTGAACATATAGAAAATAAACGACATATTGTCATTTAAGATAAGTGTGTCTCATTCTGTTGTTCTGTTTGTTGCCACGAAGTACTTCTATTTATAATCTTACCTTGAGAGGAATCTGTATTTCTATGGGATTCCCATATGCCAATCGAACTAGACTAAAGCACAACTTTTTAAAAATTGTCTTTGTTTTTTAGTTAACTAAGAAAGATTTTGGTTGTGCAAACAGTACTATAATGAAGCTATGAATATTACGTGTGACTTTTTTCCAGGTATATTGATTGGTTGGTCGGTAAGTCCAATTATCTGCCAGTCCTAAGATTCTTAAAGTTTTTGTTTACTGTATTTGAATAAAATCTTTACTATAATTACTCCTCAATTCACATATCAGTTTAAAAAAGTGTTGTAAGTTAAGGCAGCATGACTTTTTAAGATGCTAGCAAATATATGTATAAAATTGGCATTACTTTTCTTTTTGCTTCACCATACAACTGCTTTTCTACAAACTGCTTAACTGACATTCTAAGTGATACCATCTCTGTGTAGGCCCACTCATCCCAAAATTTAGGCAGTGAGGGGAGCTGGCAGCTGTTGTGAATGATTCATGAATAACATGAGCTTGTCGAGCCCTTCAACAGAGAAGAGGGAGAGAAAGAGGAGCAAGCCAGGGATTGATGTCCATGTTACTGACAGATGTTTCCTCTGTGAACTGCCCTTCATTTTTGAGTCAAAAGTAAAACTATCCCTGGTACTTTGCCTGGGAAATGGGACAGGGGCCCGTAGTCAGAGTAACTGTGTGTTATCTTCGTAGTGCAACAGTTTTTGCATCCCAAAGGTTCCTAATTTCATAACCATGTTAATATGCAGTCAGGTACATTAAAATACTACTTTAAAATACTACTTTACACCACCACTTCCACACATCTTTGTCACAGCTAAGTGTGTGTCTCATTACAGTCAATTCAGTTTCTAGTCTGTCAATCGAGCTGCCAGAATATTCTGCTCGAAGTTTTTTAAATAAAACCTTCATCACCATGTCCCACCCACACAAACTGGATTTGAACACTGCCATCATTCCTCTGCCAGGCATGTACGCTTACAATTGAGGGATAAGTTGGATTTATCATGTCTGAAACATAACTAGAGGTTACAATCACAGGCTACAGGCACAGGCCTAACCTAAACTGATCCTGTCGTTACAAAAGGTTGACAAATGTTGACAAATGTGTTAGCCAATATACAACTCATCTTACTGAGAAAATTGTAGAATTATTGCCATTGTCTCTGCGGTATCATAAGAAATTAGAATCCTTTTGCATCAAACTACGTATACTATGTGTCATTGTTTGCTTTACTGACTTGCAAAATCTATCTAGTTAGGCCAAGGTAGAGGTGACTTTTTAATGACTATCTATGTCATCATATAGTGATCTTGTAGTTTTAAGTATAACGCTGAGATAACATGTTTCATTGACCTTACAGTGAAAAAACGTAGGCTTTCTCCTTGATATGACCATTTAAGTATGTGTAACCC